AATGTATTCACAAACCACGCTGAGTAATCTAAACCGCTGCTATTTTTAACTTCAAAGACGCACCCTAGGGTACCTGTCCTCAAAAGAATCACCCAGAAATGCCGCTCACCGCCCCCTCCAAAATAAATATAATAATAAAATAAAGCCTACTGAAATCCTACATAACTGACAAGCAACTCGCAGAATCAGCGTGGCTGAATTTACTCCCCCTGCTTTCAGTATTTGGCCTTACTGACCACCAAAAACAGGGCAACTGCTTTTCCTCTTGGAGTCAGTCAGCTATCGCTCTCATTTTCTGCAATGAATAAAGAACTACGAGCGATCCCAGCATCCTCTAACATCTCCACAGGATAAGATTCCTGCATGTTTATTTTCCTGTCTGAGCCTAAAAAAAAAACCCAGAACATGGAGCTGTGCAATGAGCCACAGCACATAGCCAATACTCCAAGGACTAGAGAGCCTTCCTGTTCTGAGCTACAGGAAGTTCAAGGAAATCAATGGGAGGTGGAAGGCGCATAAGTAAAGCAGGTGTGCTCCAATTTGGCAAGAAAAAAAATAACTTTTAAAAATAAATCCTGAAGGGAAAGATGATCTGAAGCAAATCAGCACTATCATAGCCACTGAAACATATCAGACATAACTGGTGAATAAATCAAGCCATCTAAAAAGCACTGATTTTAATTAGTAACTTTTGCAATTACATGCTTACTGCTAAAAGTGGTTGTGTTTTTACACAGTCAGACCAAGGCCGAACAGCACAGATTTACCAGGAGCTCTTTGTAGCCTCTACCCCAGATATGGCTTCGTGGGGAGCCAAAATGCATCCTGCAGAGCCTCCTGCTAAGTCAAAGGAGGAAAGGCAGCAATAGTCTACAGACACTGTCTGATCTGAGCCAGCTGTTTCTCACAGTACTTCCTGTTGTTCCTTCTTCTGGGAGTCTCCATTTAACAAAAAAATATACTTAGCACAGTCAAATACAGGCAGTTTCTGGAGGTCAGACTAGGCCAGCATCACAGCCCCCTGTAATGCACACAGATCCCTGATATGCCCAGTTTTGGTAATTCTCCAAGTTAGTCTGTAGGTAAAAGAGGATGTGGATGCTCGCTACAGAAGCATGTATTTTAATAAAGAGGGAGCCAAACACTTGTGATATTTCTGATATCACCTCTAGTAATTCCAACAACATTCTTCTGATTAAAGAAAACTTACACTGCAGAACAAAGTGGAAATCAACCCTCTGACCTATGATACATGATACATTCTCAACTCATGAGCTACAAAAAGAATAGCATTTCCATGCTGATCATGCACCACTGGCAGTGAGAAGGCCCCCTTTCTGAGCTCCATCACCATGCAAACCCCATGAGGCTTTGCTCATGCTTCAACAAACAGAACAGGCTTAAGAGCCACATGTGACTGCTATAAGTTGCCAAACACCACGCTGCCAGGGAAGCCCTCCTGGGGTACCAAGAAGGCCATGCTACCAGGATTCATTAATTTAGGGCAGAGCAGCAGAATAAAGCATCTCCTCCTGTACAACATCTGGTTCCTTACAACATGTACATTTGGCCACATCACATTTCATTTTTGCTGGTTTCTCAATACTTCACATACATAAATATACAAATTGTAATGCAATAGAAAGCACAGCAACAACAGCAGAGTAACAGGGTCCTATGCTGCAGGAAGTGAAACGGTTGCTCAAATTCAACAGCCGAGGAGTACAGAAATAAAGAAAATAAGGTGCTTACCTTCAGAAGGCATCAGATACACAGGGATCTCCAACAAGATAGCCTTGCCTCCATTGCCAAACCTTAAATGAAGTCTGGGAAGGGGTGGATTCTAGCACCACCCCTTCTGGTCACTCAGGTACATTGCATGCACCTGAGCTCCAGGTTCCCACCTTCCCATCAGGTGCCCAATCACTGTTTCAAGCCATGACTTAGCATTTCCACTACACAAATACACCCATGTGTGTGTATGTAGTTTTTTCTTGCCTTCCATAATCACAGGCAAAATGAAACGCATGAAACCCAAAATGAAAGCATGAAAGAATTTCAGACACTGCCAAAACCCATACCAAATAAGCACCTAGCTAGGAAAGCTCTGCAGAGACAGCCCTGAAGCACTTCTCTCCCCTAAAGCCTGTTATTCCGAAGATTACCCGGTGCATGTTATTTTGCAGCAGTATTTTGCTGCTTTTTGCAGTCCCTGATCACACAGGGACTAAAGCAGCTGAGGTGCTCTATTTGGAATTACAGCTATGAAACAGAAGTAGTTCTAAGCCTAATTTGTCTCCAGATTGGCCAATCAGTTTCCTTCCCCCATTGCTCCCTTCATTTCCCAAGGTAGAGTGCATTTTTCCATTGTGTTCAGCAAAAAATGAGGCGAGCAGCAGGCTAAATGAGTACGGCTTGATCTTTCTGGAATGTGGAAGGAAAGACTTACAGCTTCAATACACAAAATCCACCATAGTATGCATCTGAAACAAATCTAGAATATGACACTCACCAGAAAGGATGTGCCAGAAGCATGTTCTTTTCATATGACTGAACCTCTTACCCCACCATAATCTTTTGTCTTCTTTTTTTTTTTCCCCTCCAAGAATAAACACAGAAGTTCTCAACTTCTCCCCTTAAACCCTTGTGATGCACTTACAACTTCTCCCGGGCACTCCTACAAAGCTACAAAGTCTAAATTGCTTACTTTCTTTGCATGAGGAATTCTGCTGTCAGTAATCTTCTACTTCTAGCAGATGTGGTTCTAAGGAAAACACTAATTTCCTTAAGATTCATAATAAAGATCAAGTGGAGAATTATCAAAACAAAATTGAAAGTGGCTTCAAAAGGCGACATATCTATAGTTGGAACTACATCATCGCTGCAATTGTTACCAAACAGTTTAAGTTACTAGACTTAAATATACACAACACATAGAGTTACATACTATCAGATTTCTGCTCCTTCCCTTGTTTGGAAGCTTTGCAGATATTTCAAACATTTTTGATGTTCTGAGAAAAATCAGGATGAGAATACCTCAAACAAACAAATAAACTTGCCTGCATTATTTCTAAACTACCTACCTCTTTGCAAATTCAAATAGTGAAGTAAGACTTAAAATATTTACACACGGTAGATCTTACATATATATATATTTATTTCTAAATCAAGCCTATAAGAGTATGACTGCAGAACAGCTGACTGAGAGCAGATAAAGGGGTTAAAGAATTAGGTCTGGAAAGCCTTTTTTTTCCCCACTATTTATAAAACATTGCAAATATATTAGGCCAAAGGAGACAACTGGGCTAAGCTCATGGATTTTTATGGTCCCATGAAAACAAAGAAGATTAACAAGAGATTTCTGGAAATTCAAAAACCGACTGTCTGATTCATTTATTATTTGAATTAGTCAAATCAAGAAAAAAAGTCTCCCAATTGAGTCAGTAACCATTAACTTGGCATTCATGAGTGCACTACGGGTGCTGGTCAAAACCTCGGCTTTTAAATATAAAAAAAATTCTCTAAATAATAAAAAAGCAACTGAGCCTTATACATCGAATATTTAGCTTTTCATTTACTCATCTACATATACAGATCTGGATATATCCTGAATGCTTCAGGCTTAGTTATTTCTCTGCTGACATTTCTGGAAGGACATGAGATTATGCAGCCACTGCTCATAGCCTAGGAAGAATACTGACAGATGTGCAAAAGGGAAAAAGTGGACATTAAGAAGTAAACAACAGAATCTTTGTAGTTTGACATAGCACCAACATAAGACTCTGCCTGCACATCTGGAACTAGTTATTCTGATGCCCACATATGCAAGGGGAACAAGTTCAATTCTCATCTTTAAAATCAAGAGAAAAAAATATATTGCAATCGACTTGGACAACAACATGATGTTGAACTGGCTTCAAGATGAACTAAGCTCCCCTCGTGCTTTTACATTTCTGCCATAACCAGGGTCTGCAAGCACCCAACTTGCCTTAGTGAGGCTGCTATTACTACCACCTTTTATCTGCACAAAATACGGGAAGCCAGACTGTAATTTAGTCTATAGTGTTTATGCACAGGGTTGGCTATACTGTACAAACATTGCCACCGTGTTTTATGGGAGTCGAACTGGAGTGCAAGACAATTCTGCAGCCTATTTCACCTGGTACCTAAAACTCTGGTATACCACATTCCTGAAATCTGCTTTATCGGAGAGCACAGCTACGCAGCATTTCTATCTCAGGATACACCAGACATTGCTTCTGTATGACAGGAATTGACAGGAATACTCAACAGCGTGCAAGACTATCAAAGTTCTCTATTACAGTACAGCATTAAGGGTGCTCCAGCCAGAACAATTCCTGTGAATTTTGGTCATACAATTCTGTCAGGCCAAGTGGACACATTGATGAGTATTAAAGTACCTGGACTCCGTAACTATTTCTGGTATCAAATTAGGAAGCCAGGTTCCTTCAGCCCTCAGAACAGTTAACGGAAGGAACGTAGACCCTGCATGATGCTTAAAACTCACCTCCTGTTCCAGAGTTATCAGCTGCCAAAATTTTATCTGGAGCCTGTGCAGCCCTCTTCATTTAAAGCTAACAGTAATGTTCCAAACCCTGTGTTTCAAAAGAAAATTTGTGGAAAACTGTTGTACATTTACCCCACATGCTCAAGTAAAGAACCAGAATTCATGGCTTAAATTTATATAATCTCATGGGTTTGTTGGTGAGGAGACAAGCGAGGGGACAAACTCACTTTTTTCTTTCTTTTTTTTTTTTTTTTTTTTATTAAAATATCTGGGGCTGGATCTACTGCATAAATAAATCAATCCCCCAGTTACACAGCTCCATTTTTCCAGTCCCAGCACGTTGTTTTATATATTTTTCCTTCCATTGCAGACAAATGACTCCAGGGAGTTTTTAAACCCAGTAGTCTACTTTCCGAATGGAAACAATTAGTGTAATTTGTGAGTGAAAAAGCAAACAATAACAGAGACTTACCCCATTTTTTGGGTAGGCTATCCATCCTAGATCCCCCATTACTGTGCGTGAGTCCAGTAAATTCACTGAAAGAAAGAAAAAAACTGGTAAGGTGGATGTCTTATAAATTTCAGTAAATATTTCATGATTTGGGTGGCTATGGTAAATAGGCTGTTTATAATTAACAAAGGAAGCTGGGTTTTTGTAAGACAAAATAACAATGCAGTAACTCCTCTAACAATGAGATCATACCCTTTGAGATCTGCAACTGGAAATTGCACACGTTCCAAATTTCTGCAAGATCCAGACTCTTGCATTAAGTTCTTTGAGACTGGTCTTTTTGGGAGGCAGGTAACTACATAAACTCTGTATAAGACATACAGAAGATACACACGTATTCCTTCTATGGTGGTACAGTCTTCAGCATAATCAAGCCTTTTAGACAAACACAAAACAAGAAACAACATGCAGAGTACCCTAGTTATCATGGATTCAAGTTTTGAAGTACTTTATATGTAAGTATGGCAGTATTACAGTTAATAGGAATCTATTTTTTTTTCTCCCTTGCATGTTGTTCCAAGACTCGACAACTTCACTTAACACACCCAAGGGATTGTCTTCCCCCCCTTCACCAAAAATACAGTGGTTCTGTTAAGTCAGAAGCAATAGACAAACGATTAACATTAAAGAGCAATAAAAACTATCCTCAATCTCATAATATTTCCCCTCATATTTCCTGAAATACTGAGTACGGAAGCATGAAATAATTTTAAAAACATACATCTACGCAGAGTTAAATCAGCTGAGGAAAAATACAGTAGCTTTTGGTGCTGAGCTTTCCAGTGTCATCTCCTGTTCTCAGGACTTCCAGTCTCCCAAATTAAGAACTTCCCTCTGAATCAATAGCTGTTACAGAGAAACTCAGTCTAAGAGGAGTCTACTTTGCAAAGCACAAAAATCCTTCAGACTGTAATTCTTGCTTTCCACAGTATATTTATCTGCATAGCACAGCCTCATTTTCGCACCCATGTTCAGCCTAATAAGGAACCAATTTCCTCAAGTCTTCAATTCATGGTCTCCAATGTATGCACTGTTTAGAAATCCCACAGGAAGTCAAACTTCAAGACTTTCAAACTGAAGATGAGCTATCCCAAGAACAAGTTGGAAACAAGAGAAGGAGGATAAATGCTCAGTCCTTTGGAAACAAGCCCATTTAGTTAGGTACTTAACAATTGGTAGAGAAAAAGAAATAGCATATACATACAAGCAGAAAAAATGGGAATATCAGTTCTCAACTCTGGTATTCATCTGAGGTACATTTTCCATCTCTGCACAGACAAATACCAGTGTAAACCCAAGGCATACAGACCTCTACATCAGCACGGGTCACCCTACTGCAATGCACCATCAACAAAATCAGAACATTGCCAACTGATTACCTCGGACATCATAAATACAGTATTTAGAGAGTACCTGCTCACTGTGACAAGAAATAGACTCATCAAGTTCCTGTAATTGGCATTCCACTTCAGAGTGCCTATTTTTCCCTAAAGAGTTAATGACCTAAATGTATAGAAGCACAAGAACTTAATAGCAAACCATGTTATGTACACAGAGGCACAAATAACAGAACTAGACATACATTATACTAAAATAGAAGTGATATTGTGATGAATTTTTCTCGTAATCATTGTAATACACCGAAAGCTGATGACTGCAGCTCATTGTACACAAAAACAGTCAAAACACAACAGGTAGGGAAATTTGTCCTCAGCCCTGGCGCCAGACGCTTAAAGAAGATACGTGGATATCTGCAGTGTATGCAATCATTAATCCAGCATGCTATCACAGAACACGGAGATTTTCTGCCTCCTCTGGGTATTGTTTCTAGAACAGAAACCATGCTTGGGTGCTCAGGATGCTATGATATTCACCAGAAACAAAATTGAGTGATTTTACTGAAATACATTCATCATAAGGAAGCAAAATTAGTTGGCTATCAACGCCACAGCTTAAGCTGTGAAAAAAGTTTTCAACCACCCTTACAGATGCCACCCAGTAATGGCCAGCTTTTGCCCTCCTGACATGTCTACAGGTTATCTTCTATCCCTGCTTCGGCTGAAGTCAAAGATTCAGTACCCAAGTGCTCCTAATCCTACTGCATTTTCTCACTGAGATCACAAAGGTGATCTTAAAATATTCCTCAAAATAGGACACGTAACAAACATGTCCTATATTATAGCTGCAAACCATTTCAAAAAGGAGGAGAAACCTGCCAACAAAATGGCAGGTTACCCAAATTCCTCCTATTACAATCACTGTAATTAAACTGTGCATAAGAGTATATTCCTGTCATAAGATGCAATGGATGCAATACAAGTATTGATCTGCACTGTACAACTTAATTAAAACTTATCCCAAAGATGCTACTAATGAATGCAATTAGATGGCATGTTTGATGCCACAAAGTTCTTCATGACATGCTAATTAAGCAAAAAGCAAGAAAAGTGCTTTTATTCAGACATCAGATCATAAAAAGAACATGATAAAAATAAATACTGTATTATCCAACAATGACAATTTTTAAATTGCTGTTATTAACTTCAATTTCAAAATAATTTTCTGCATATGAAAAGATAATATAATCCATTCAACTCTAACTCAAGTCAGTGGGAATTTTTCTATCGGTGAATCAGCCAACAGAGCTGAATACTAAATCTCCAGTTAGAAAAAAGACATTTCCTCTCTTTTTTCAATAGGATTCTAAACAGAGCAAAATAAATAGGAAGGGATGAGATGCACCTTTTGACAGGCACAGTGCAGTAACCTGAAATTCATACCAAGAGAACAAAAGCCGCCAGTGACGTTAAGTTGTAGGCTGCTCTGGATGGAGACTTGAAAAGCTCCCTGCATGAGGGGGCTTCTCGGTCACAGCGTGCCCCACGGGCTTCTGCACAGAACTGCCTTCACAGTAGATCTTCTAAAATACTGCACTGTATCGATTTGCTGAGGAATGTATTCAGCTAGTAGTTGCGCTAAATTGCCTGCAAAGACGGAAATGTTTTGCTTTCAGAATCCCAGAAATTCCTACATAAACAGAAATTACACCGCTCCACCTTGACACAAGGCTTCTGCATTTTCCCCGTCAACCCCCACCCAGCCGTTTCCAGGAAACGCATCATGTCCTTGCACCACTGCCAGCATCCAAACGCACCCTGATCCTGCCCCAGAGCAGGCTGGAGCCCTGCGGCCACATCCCAGGGAGGATCCCGCAAAGCGTCGACTGCAGGAGCGCCTGCTCAAGGTGACGGTGTCAGCCTCCCCTCCTTCCCAACCCCGGCAGCAATGTTATTTTTTGCTGAAATGGCTTTTGTTAAGAAACTGCAGATCGCTGAAACGGCTTTTAAGCAGATTGGCCAGGCTAAGAGAAAAACAAACAGTGGGCAAATGGCAGGTAAAGTACATGGCTATGGTGTGTAAATTCTCTGCTAAAACAGTTTTTTCCCTGAAGAGTTGATGCCATCCTAATGAGATGCTTTCACCACTCATCATGTGAAGCTTTTCTGCACCTGAATAAAAATAGCCAAAAGTTCCTCTGGTTTGACCCACAACAGGATTAAAAGAAAAAAAAAAAAAAAAAAAAAAAA